CTATAGCTTTGGTAATACTTCTCACAAACCAGTGGATGAAATGCTGGATCCAAAGCAGCTTATTTTAAGACATTATAAAGACATTATTACTGAGCAATGTAACTCACATCAAATGTACATCGACTGGTTAACTATTGGAATCAGKTCAGTTCTAGATGGCCACCACAGCTAATCAGGTTTACTCAAGACAAAAACTGCTATAACACCATTAACTAACTTGGATTTRCCTGGTCATGCAGACAGTTAGTTCACACTTTAATCTTTTTATATTCAGTACAAGGAGTGAATCTCATTATAAAATAAAGTTAAAGGAATCAAACGACTAATAAAGATGMTTTTTAGTTTTTATGTTTTGAGCTTTTGCAACACAAAAAATGTCTCTGTACTAGTTGCCATTTTAGGCCTGTTTTATACTTTTCTAATTCAGGCTGCTGTTAGGAAATGCGTTTTTCTGTTTTCTAAACAAGTGATGTAAAAATGCACATTAATACAAATAAATTCAGTTATTATCACCCTATGAAATGGGTTTTTCCAAAACAAACCACTTTRATGTGACAGGTTGTGTTTTGATTTCACATTTTCTCATTTCTAGTGCAACAGATCTGTAATAATTAGGGGTGTAACAATTCATCAATTTAAATCAGTATACAGATTAAATGATTAATGATTCAGTTACATCACATGTGTCAAACTCAAGGCCCGCGGGTGACTCCTGTCCTTTTCTTTTTTACTTACCATAATATGAAAATTGTTTCTTATATCGATGGTAAACGTAAAATTTATGGTTAAATGCAGCAAAATAAACAAATTTAAAAGGTGAAAGATAATAGTCCTTATCCTGCCCCTGAGCTGTTGGCTATATGTAACTGAGCACTTTAGTTAGATAGCTCAGTAATAATGTCTTAAAATAAGCTGCTTTGGAWCCAGCATTGACRACAAACTTAATCTCCCATGTTGCATGTTGATCATCAATGATAATCCTTTAATCATGTGGCTCTCAGTGAAAATGAGTTTGACACCCCAGAGTTACATRAAGGCAAAACTAGGMATGTCCCGATCCAGATTTTTTGGCTCCCGATAAAATCTGATTWTTTTTAATGACTAGTCTTTCCAATACRGATCCGATACTGATCCYATACRGAWCTGATAGCTTTATTTCTRTCTAAGTGYCAAGGTTYGTAGTATTAAAGCGAGCCCTGCTGTTCCCACCATGAGAAACATCCAGTTTGCAGATTTTGCAAGATGRAGTTTCATCATTGTTTTCTATTGAAAAGTGTTCCCACACTGTGGACATGGTTGTATACTTGTGTGCGTCTTGACTTCTTAACGGCAGRTGTAAAGCATGATGATGCTGAAAACTGGATCGGCCCGATCACATGACTAAATCKGATTCMACCTGATTTTCAAAAAATGGCCATATCTGCCACCGGTACWGAGTATCTGATCGGGACATCCCTAGGCAAAACGAAAACATCAAWCCATTTCYTCATATGCCCGATGTGGATCGATATCAATCAAAGACTTTGGAAYTGAATTGAAATCATATCATGACAGATTTGTTGAGAAACATTGTATCGTCATCCAGACGAATTGATATAATGTAGAACTGTGATAAAGCTTGTGATTTACTCCCGTAATAACAACGTGTCTTTTTTCTCCAGAGTGTCTCTTTATCTTTCCCTGCCAGTGGAACTACAGGCCGGACCACTGCATGTATGGGAGTAACTGCAAAACTGCTGAGGAGGAGGGTGTGTCCATCCTCCACGGTAACCGAGGCGTCTATCACGACGACAAGCAGCCTGCGTTCAAAGTAATGTACGATGCCATACACGATGTGAGTGTTCCTGAAGAGTGGTCGAGGTTGTGCTATTGTTTTCATGGCTGCTGTTTCCCATTCCCTTACACTGCAGAAGGCTCTTCTGTCAGTATAAAAATGTTTTTCGTACAGCTAAAGCCATCTCTAGAAACAACCTAGTATTGATTTGAAGTGAGCTTTGTCTCTGAGGTGACAAAACTAAAAGGTCAGGACAAGAAATTTCACTCACAGCACTCACTTTGCAATTCTGATCTAGTGTTCAGAGTAAAAAAAATGTCCTTTCACACTGGATCCTAGTAAATTTAAAAAAAAAAACTTTGGTGTAAAGGCTATCATGGTGCTGCTACTCACTCACTGGGCTGATTGTCAGTGTATTTTGAAGACCTGGACATGTCAGAGGAGAGCTTCTCTGCGGGTGTCAGAACYTAGGTCTCCAGATGTGTTAAGGTCTCCTCGTGCTCAGTCCGAAGCTGAACAGTGGACACGCGATCATGTGCTTGTTCAGCGTTGGTTTTCGCACACGGAGAAAGAAAGGGTGGAAGCCTCCAAGCTGAGAACAAAATAATACCASTTTCCTCACCAAACTGCAACAGTCCGATCCAATTTCAGCAGTTCGGAGGGAGCCCCCGATGACTCTGGCTATGTTGAGAGAAAATTTATTGCATTAATTTCTAGAACAGGTTCAAAATTCAAGCAACAGGACTCCCAGCCTCTGTAGCTGTGAATCCATTGACCATGAAAATGCGCAAATTAGAATTTCGAAAATAAATTTGCTCAATGGAAACACGTCAATTTTGAAAAAAATATGTGTTTTTCGACTAAATGATTTTGCGCTGGGAAGAGGTGGTTTTTCGGCCGTATTGAAATTGGTGTATTTCACAAAACTGCAATGGAAACACTTTTTTCGCATCACGGGAGTCGCGTGATCAAGAACCGACTGTTTCTACTGGTGAAAAAGACGACGAAGAAGAAGATAACAGGAAGTAAAAGTAGTAGTGAAATCACTGAAGTAGTAAAAGAAAGTATTAAACTCACCAACTACATTTTTCCAAAAGCACAGCATACGTAGCCACTCCCAAGTGTAAGGAGCTTGTTGCTGTAAAGCTGCGATAAGACGCCGACGTCTCCTCTGATGATGAGCGCTAGTGTCATGGTAGCAAATATAAGTCTAGTGGGTGTACACTGTAAGAGTGCAGTAGAGAATTACAAGTACTGAGAATACAACATGAGTACTATAGGTAGTATCACACTAGGTTAAAAACTGGGTTAAAAACTCAGTGTAAATTGGCTGCTGACTCATGTGAGTCATAAATATAACATACTTTTTACATACATAACATAAGTTTATTGATGTGTGAAACTGTAAAATAAACATCTCTAAATAGTGCATCAGAGGTGGTCGAAGAGTCACATCAGGGTGAGTGTTATTAATCATTTTCATACCGCGATATAACCTAAACAAAATACTGCGGTGTACAGTATTACCAGGGTGTGTGTATCTGTGTGTATGTGTCTGCGGCGTTTTGAGTAAATAATAATTATTGGGGAAATGATTGTGAGCGTGCACATAGCCTGAGAGAGGCCTGAGAAAAAAGAAGGAAAAAAAACCTCAGCTCTTCTGACATTGTTGTCACTCAAAGCAGCAGGAGACGAGTCACAGAAGGACTCCTGCCCCTTTTTTATGTCGAACTGATTGAAATACATCCAACTACGTCTTATTAGGATTTTAAAGGGATCCCCGATTAGTT